TAGTTTTACTTGTAGTTTAGATTACCTGGGTTACTATTATCCACTGGAAACAGAGGACTGAAAAAGCCAGTAACTTTAATTTTCTGTCGTATACGTCCACAGGCATCTTCCAAGCCACAGTAAAGGAGTTATAATGAATCTTCTCAACTCTGACATACTGTGGAGCTGAAATTGAAAGAAAGCGTAATAATAGTGATAATAATCATCTGTTCTTTAGAATGCAAATTATGCTTTATTCATATAATAGTGCTGAAAGAGTGTAGGTTCGCCAAAATAATCCTCAAGAAAGAAAAAAAGAGTAATTACAATTTCAATGCCCTTTTGTAAACCAAAAAAAAAGGGGGGTTCGTTGTTTACTCAAAAATATCTTCCGATGGATCAACGATATATTTGTGCACTTACAACTCTATAATCCGGGGTACGATTTCCAACGGCAGATAGGGTACAAATAGCCCATTGTTTAGGTATGCGCTACAACAAAAATTTCAAAAAAAAAAAAAACGCGAACTTATAAACTGTGTAAAAGTAATTTTTAAATTAAGTATTACTTTCTATTATTACGTTTTGGTAAGTTCTAGAAATTGGCTTTATCAAGAAAAATTAATTCAACATATGAAAATCAAAAAGACGTTAAAACAGATGCAATTTGTTAATTTATGAGATAAAGTATAAAGGTGATAAGCCTCAATTGTATCATATTCTTAAAACTTACTGTTCAAATTGCAGCAACCTAGACACCAACAAAAAGCACTACCATAATAAAATATTGATAGAAAGGATTTTTGAATTTCTTAACTAGATCTTTGGAACTACCCAAAAATTTGCGAAAAAATAAACGCACAAACCACGTGCATACACAAATATAAATAATTAATACAAAAAAAAAGCTTAAATATCATCATTTCAGAGAGAATTTAGTGAGTTAATAAATATTTGGATTCGAGCATTTGTTCACTGAAACCCTTCAAAAGCTTTTTTAAACATTAGAGTGTTATATTAAATGATAATATATTTGGACTGAATTTTATTCATGCAACACTAACGGAAACTTCCTTTTGAAATAGTGGACCAAACAAAGTTTCCAGTGTGGTTCTGTCACTGCTGTAATTTATGCAAAGTAGGCTTAGAGAAAAATTTACAAATTCTACGAGTAATTACGAATGCATAAATAAAATATTTATAGGAAAAAAAGTTAATAATATACTAAATCTGAAAGAATCATACAAATGTTTGGCGTCATTTTTTTTTGCTATGTTTGCTACGGCACAATATGTTGTCTGCACGAACGATGAAGGTTGTCATAGTAACAAGACCAACCAAATTACAACAATGAAGACACGACACAAACATATAAATCTATATAACAATGGAAATACTTTTTAATTTTAATACAGATTCGATTTCCTCAAAACTTTTTCCACCATTACAAATATTTTCTTTGCACCTATTCATCCACATGTAAAAGTTATAGTTTAATTTGTTCTGAGTGTGATGTATAAACTGTAAATAACTCGCCAATGTGGATTATTAAATATATATAATGACATGGACAAGAAAAAATAAAATATGGCAAGACTCTAACGCTACTTAAAATAAATTAACATCTGTCAAACAGCACTGACGTAGTGAACAAAAAGTTTTCTTTTTGTTTTTATATACGCAAAATGTCGAAAATGTATCAATCTACTAATATCTTAACTGTACTTGGATGTGTATTGATCACATGATTAAAAATTATAAAAAAAACTCACTACAGCTAATTTGGAATTGAAATTCGATGACGAGGAAACCACTTTGAGACTAATAATGGTTGGAGCCAGCTTGAATGGGTAATGAAGAAAAACTTTAATATAAGTTTAACACAATGTAAATTTATTATATCATCTACTTTTAATCGATGTGTTTCGAGACACATATAACAAGCACATTCGGATTAACAACAACAGCGCTCAGAAACATAAATGATTCTTTAGTTAACTTAGTAACTAGAACGGTGTTGAGTTGAGTGTCTATGAATAAACAATAACTAACCAGCATTACATTAACTAGCGTATGCTAGAATTAACTAAAACAGATGAACATCATAGCTTAAATATCTTAAACCAAACTAGTCATACTAGTCATTGTTATTGATATATTTTGTCGACTTCTTCTCCATAACCTCGACTTGCCTCAACATCGCCTTTGCCTTCACTTGTGCCTGCCTGCCATTTTCAAATTTATTCATTTTTTCCTTTTTTTTATCAAGTTAGTTAAATCTGTAATAAGCCTGGAATCATTAATTCAATCAGCCTATAAAAGCTCAACCCCCCCCCCCCATGCTAATTTCTAATTCATAAGCCTCGTGCGAGGGAAGGAAGATTGTTCAATCTTCGAGTACCCCTAATGATTAATTATTTATTTATAAATAATTAATTTTAAATAAAATAACTGCCAGTTAGTCCAAACAGAATAATTTGCGGAAACATAGAAGCACAATAATACATATCAGATTCTCAAATTGAATGACATACCTTAAACCATTGGACGTAGACCTTAACTCTTAATGAATTACAATTCGCCCCCCAGTGGAACAGTGGTTAGTCTAAAAGCTTATAACGCTAAAATCGGGATTTTGATATCCGTGTTAAACACAACACAGAGAGTACATTGTGTAACTTTGTGCTTAACTACAAAGAAACAAATTACAATTATACTTGTCATAAGACATTAGTATTAGGCCCATTACAATTTTAAACACATCTAGCCAGTACAAATCTTAATTGCGAATATAAACACGGTTTAGAATTAGAATGAAAAGTTATATAAGCAAAAGAACTCTAAATAGCACACATAAAAGTCAATATCTATAACTTTTTCAGAGTTTATAATTTCACATAAGACAGGTCTTGTCCCACTAGTCCTGATGAAGCCACAAGGGTGAAACGTTGACCGAAATAATTTATCATTATTTTATCTAGAGAGTAAAGGTCTTTTCTCTCTCTATCTTTATTCCCAATTTGTGACTGGAGCAGTTCTTCATAATGCTTTAGCCTAATGCCTATGGGAATCAGTGCTGTGCGACTCAGTAGCACTGAAGAATACTATAATCATCATGCACGCAACAAGGTTGTTTTTTTTCGGATTTTTTCCAATGAGGGGGCTCACTTTCAATTTAAACAAAGGAGTATTCATAGTTGGAAAATTGAAACAAAACTTTCGTGTATATTATAATGCTTAGTGAGTGATTAACAAAAACAAATAAATGTATTTCTCATTGTTTTAAAGTATTTCGGGTTAGAGATAAGTATGCAGCTATCTAACTAATACTTTTTCTAGTATTACATTTTCTGCACAAATCTTAAAAGTTTATGGCTAAAGGGAGCGATTGAGCCCCCAAGCTTTCGTTGTGCTCATATATTTCACTCTGTTTCTCCATGAAACTATTGGGCCCACAGTTTAATGAGCTTTTACAACTTTTATTTCATCCAGCTGGAGCACTAGACTTAATGGTGGTTCTTGAAGTACACTATTCGGCATTGCTACAGGTCATCAGCTAAATTTTGTATGTCCTGGGTTTGACACAAGTATTGTGTATGATATCATTAAAATACTGTATGTCATTCTTATTCAGCCTTCATAAGCATTTTACTTACCACTAAAACTAAACTGAAAGTCGAATTTTATGGGGGGGGGGGGGGTACCACAGGTTAAAACTTACCGAGGGCGCAGAATGTTGGGGTTATTCGTTTCAACAGATTTTAGCGATACCAACACAGAATGCTACGATACGAAATTAAATAATATGTTGATTTTCTAAAATAATATTTTCCTACCCTGTTTAAAGTTGATACAAAGTTATGTTTTATGACGTTAAAAATAATTAGGTCATAAAATTATTTACTTTTTATCGGCGTTCAAAACTCATTATAGAGCCCTGAATATACTTAAATAGTACCAAATATAATTAGTGGCATCAATGTTGCACATTCTTTAAGTTTAAAATAAATGTAGGTTCACTGTGGTAAGTAAAAGACGACAAAACACAATATACACGCCACCACTAGAAGAAGCCTAGTTCGATTTGCCCTTGTCCAGGGGTTACTGATGAGGAGTGGACTTCTCCGACACCTGTATGACAATTGGTAAATCAAATAATAAATTAGCTTAATATTTATTTTTGATATCTTACACAGCTTGTCTGGTGAATAATTCAGATTAATACATCTTTTGATTTGTCTATATAGAGTTATATCTACACAAGTACAAGTGTAACGTGTATGTGTTTGTGGGAAGCTTTTTTAAAGCTTGGTTAAACTATGCAAAAAGGAAATTAGGAGTTGGAAAGTACGGACGATGTCACCATATGCATAAGGAAAGGGTGGATGTAGAGAGTACTATGTATTGCAAAGGGAAGGGTATTTGGGGAATGGATCTGTTATATTTCAGAGACCCCACACAGATAGCAGTGTTTATGTGTTATTTCTTCATTTGTTTATAGACACTTAGAGTACCGGTACCGTCACCCTGTTGAGTTTTAGTACTTGCCCCTAATATCCAGGTTTTGAAAGCATCGCTAGATCTAGTGTCTCTTGCTATATAAGTCCATCGGTTTGTCATTTTTTGTATCACATCATTGGACTCAAAATCGTCTTTTGTGTTAGAGGTGTTTGGTGGATATCACGTGCTATGGAACAGGTTAAACTCACTTAGGTTTAACCTCGCAATCATTGAGACGCCCCTGACGGCCATCAGATTCGTTCAGAATTCTACGTACCAAACTTTTTGCGTGAGAGGTCTAGGCAGATCACTTAACTAATTTAATTACATTAAATACACGGCATTGTCTTTACTTATTTTAAATTTTGTGCATTCAAATACAAAATACCACAACCAATAAAATAAATAAAAATGTTTCGTGCGTAACGCACGAGTTTCCCACTAGTATTTAGCTTAAAGTTGAGAGAAGGGTTGCTATGGTAGATAATTAGATTGTACTCACCTG